ATCTTCTCACTTCATGGTAACTCCAGTTCTCTTGTGGGCACATGTTTGGAAGGATTGGTTGTATGTAACCATGTGTCCTGGGACTGAGGCACGAGTTCCCTTCTTTAAGTTGCAGTCCTTCAGCCTACTCACACACTTCTTTCTACTCCCATCACTCTGATGAAAGCATTCAAAACAGCTAGAAATTGAAAGCTGGGTATACATGAATTCCTTGCACTATCTTTGGAAAACCTTGTCATATCAAGCAAAACTATTCTAAAATTCTTAAAAATTTAATTGAAAGAAAACTGAATGATGGATAATGAGCTTTCATTGAAGATATTTTCAAAATGTTTTGACAGAATTATTAATAAGCTAAATATTTTAGGACACATAAAAACAACATCAAATGCTAATATCTCCTGTTAGATATTTTCCTCAGACCAAAATAGAAATAAGCTTTTCCTGGAGACAATTTTTCTCTATTCCTATTCTATTTCAGTCTATCCTTGAACCACAAGAATAAAAATATTTTCTAGGAGCTCATCCATTATCTGTCATGCTTCCAGCAGGATTGCAAAAGCATGTGGCTTAGACCATCCTCTTGTTCACCACACGGTAGCATGTTTAGAGGATAATTAACATTTCAGCCCCATATTTTATTATTATGATAACAAAAATAGACCCATGTGTTTTCAAACGCCCATTGAAAGTGACACCACCTGGTGTCACTGTCTGGCCCAATCTCGGTTTCCACAAAGGGAACAAAAGTCCAGAGAATTTAAATTGCTGGAGTGAAATCACAAAGCTAATAGAATTCAAGTCAGCATGTTGGGAGGCATTCACCAGAGAAGACTATTCAGGCATGGATTTAAGCCAATAACCGGTCTTTATTAGCTGGCAGGCAGATACACTGGTGTTTGGGATCCCAGTGTAGCCTCGAGCCTTTCTCAGGGTGAGCTTTTAAGTACAAAAACCATGTTCTGGGCTGACATACTTCAGTTAACAAGAACAGTTAGCCAGAAGAACTATAGAAGCTAAAAACCAAGGTTAGTACATTTAGAGAGTTTCCCAAAACTATATGGACTTTGATGGACTAGGCCTCTGACTTAGTTTCAGCAAGTGGTGCTGTCTATGTGGTGAGTTTTATAACCTTGATGGTACTTCCATCATGCAGTCAGTTGTGCTAAGGTCTGGGGACCTACCATGGTATGGGGCCCTGTTAAAAGCAGGCAGCCTTCCCTTATTCAATAGCCTAAAGATGCATGATTGCTTTTTAATTCTGTAGAACTCAATTTTCAGAAAAATTTTCATTTAGACTAAATATGAATCAATAAAATACTTTTCAAACAAAAAAAGTACAAAGCCAGTGTGAAATTGGAAAGATATAGAATTGAATGAATTTCATTCTCTATGAATATGCATCTATGTCTCATTGCTTTAAGGACAATGCACTGAAATGGTGTTGAAGCAATCAGTGGAGATGGGAGATCCCATTGCCAGCAGGGACAGTAGAGGAATGCCAGGAAGAACAAGGTTAGCAAAAACAACCTGCTCTGGTTGCTCTCAACTCAAAAAGAGAACTCTGTCTGCCTACAGTGAGGAGGAGGCAAGCCGAGGTCAAGGTGGGAACTGTTAGAATGACCAGCCATCCATTATGGAAAGAGGATTAAGAAAATCTAGGGTCCAGGAAAGATCTAGAAAGACAAGAGAAAGGAAGTGCAAGCCTGGAGACTCAGGAAAAGGGTATATATATATGGATTCTGAATCCCATCCAGGCAGAAAATCTTGGCAATCTCACTCTCATGGACAAGAACACAGCATCAAGACAAGTGAAGTCTATCAGGAAGAAATGAAGAAACAGAAGAGCCTGCCTGCTGTATTTTGTGGAGGATGTTTCACAGGTCTTTCATGTCTTGGTCTACCCAGACCACAGTAACAAATGAGCATCAACATGACAGCTCTTTATAATACAAAGGAATTCCTCATATTTCTGAAATCTGGGAAGCTAAAGACCAAAGGACCAGCAGATTCAGTCTGAACAGAGTCTGTTTTCTGTCCTTTAGATGCTACCTTCTTACTGTGTTCTCACAGAGTAGAACACAAAGAGGTTCTCTTGGGACTGTAAGAGCCCTGATTCCAACCAAGCACTCTTCTCTCTTGCTCCCAATGACTTCCGGGATGTCTTCACCTCCAGGTAGCACATACTAGAGACTGAGTTTAAATATGTGAAGTTTGGGGTATTATTCTCATATTGTAGTATCACACCTACTCGACCCAAAACAATTTCTTTTAAAAAATTTAAAATAAAACTATAAATTGAGAAGAAATACAGCTGGGCAGTGGTGGCACATGCCTTTAATCCCAGCATTTGGGAGGCAGAGCCAGGCAGATCTCTGTGAGCTTGAGGCCAGCCTGGTCTGCAGAGCAAGATCCAGGACAGGCACCAAAACTACACAGAGACATCCTGTCTCAAAAGAAACAGAAAACAAAAAAAAATTTTTTAAACCTTAGAAAACTCAAAATAAGCTCAGTTAGTGATGGTCTTAAATAAATAGGTAATGGGCAATTTATAATAGAATATATGTTGTTGGTTGTTTTTTACTCTTTGGTGGAACCACTGCCACCCAGCTCCTAAATAAATCACACAGAGAGGCTTATTTTTACTTATAAATGCCCAGCCTTAGCTTGGCTTGTTGCTAGCCAGCTTTTCTTACCTTTAAATTATCCTGTCTATCATTGGCCTCAGAATTCTTATCTTTCTCTATTCCTGTATACATTTTCTTTCTTTCTTACTCCATGTCTAGCTGTGTAGCTGGGTGGTTGGGTGGCTGGGTGGCTAGGCCATGAAGTCCTCCTCCTTCCTCTTTTGTTTTGTCTCCCCAGATTTCTCCTCCTATTTATTCTCTCTGGCCACCAGCTCCGCCTATCCTTTCTCCTGCCTCACTATTGGTCATTCAGCTCTTTATTAGACCAATCAGGTGCTTTAGACAGGTACAGTAACACAGCTTCACAGAGTTAAACAAATGCAATATAAAAGAATGCAACACATCTTTGCATCATTCAACAAATGTTCCACAGCATAAACAAATGTAACACACCTTAAAATAATAATCTACAACAGATATATACTTTCCAAGAATTCCTGAAGCAAAAATTAATCACATTCTAAGACATAAATCTTCAATTATGTCAGGGTAAGAATAACAAATGGCATATTCTCTGACAAAAGTAGAAAAACATAATGATAATGGTTGAAACAGAAAGGCTCCCTTTGTAGAAAATTAAAAGCATGTTCTAAACAATAATTGAATTAAAAGAAGATAAGTCTCCAAATAAAGAATATTTAGAAAATTATTCAAAGTTATAGCTCTTTCTATTAAAATGTGTTAAGATGTGACAAAATTATAGAGGCAAACTCATATACTTATATTTAAATGACTTGATAGGAGAAAATAAATAAAAAACAACAAACACTTTAAAAAGTAAAACAATGTCAAGACAACAAAAATAATAAAAATAAAACTATAAATTGAGAAGAAATACAGCTTTATTAACAAATGCAAAGTCTTAAAATGTTTCTTTCAAAGGATATCAGCTCTTATTTCCCTTATGACGGTTTAGTAATTACTAGGAAGATATATACACTTATGCAAATTTTTGCCAAAGCTATCCTTTGTCACACATTGTTCACTGAGTACTCAATGTGAATGTTGAGGGCTCCTGACGCAACTTCAAATCTTAAAGGCTCATCCTCCCTAGCAACTCCCCCACTCCCCAATTCCACCCCCACCTCCTCACCCCCCACAACCCCAACCCCATGTACCTGGAATCTACTTGTTTTCATCCTGTTTAGTTTTTTGTGTCAGGAACACTGCCCATAAGCAATTGGTGATTCATTCAGTGCTTATTAAATTTGAAACCCAGGAGTCTGCTTCTTAGTTAGCACAAACAAGTAAATCTATTTATTGATCTGGTTATCCAAGACCCAGCTAGAATCCAAATCCTGCCATCATCACACATAGCTTCTGCACTGTGGCTCTCTGCTGCCCCCTCTTGGTTCTAGTCAGGATTGTTTCAGACACTGGGACGTGCTTTTAAGCTTTTAGTAAGGTAGAAAAATTGCCAAGTATTTGAGTGCTCCTGATCCTCACACACAGATGAATGAAACTGTCCCATTGTAGAAGCAGAATGTATCTTTTTACTATATTGTTTCGGAAACCAGCTTCATTCAGTTGAGTATTTTCTAGATGAACTTTGGTTTTCTAAAGAAAAAAATGTTTGACTTACTGGACTCGCCCAGTTCAGTGATTGTGGCATTTTTGATTCATAAACAATTCTGAAGGACTATAAAACTAAAGTGTACATATTCAGGGAGTGTCTACTGGGACACTGCGTTGTGTCCAATTTCAGGAAAGGACTGAATGGCCCAAAGAGGCAAGTGCAGTCTACAGATAGATTTCAGATAGCCACCTTTTCAGCAAGCACAAAACTTCTGGAAGCCTACACCTGTGATGAATCAATCCCTATGTGTGAAGGTCTGGTTATTTTGGTCCACAGAGGCAACTCTAAAGGATCCTTGTAGCTCTTTAGCGTATCAGGCAGTCAGGTGATGCTGCAGCCCTGCCTGCTTCTCACTGTGTCATCTGCTTGCTTCCTCTCCCTGCCTCGGGTATCCATCCAAAGGGTCTCTTTTGCCAACATCCTCATGCTAATTTTTATCTCACAGTCTTTTGGGAGCCCAACATGCGGCAGCTGTGAATGTAACTGCATAAAACTGCTCACGAGGTCACAGGGACAGAGGTAGAAAATAGTACCTAAAAGTATTTCATTGGGCTGAAGAGATGACCAAGAAGTTAAGAACACTTCCTGCCCTGCCAGAGGAATTGAGTTCGGATTCCAAGCACACATAATGGGTGGCTCATAATCCCTTGTATCTCCAGCTCCAGGGGGATCCAACCCCTTCTTCTGGCCTCAGATACTCACATATATCAGGTATACATTTACACAACACACAAACATATGAATAAAAAGCTTTCATTATTTTATTTAGCGGTTCCATTCATCACCTCCATGTTATGTGGGCTTACGGATGTCCATCCTATCCAGGTGACAGGAGACTCACACCGAAAACTGCTTCTGGGGAAAGAAATTTGGGAGACAAGAGTTGAAGAGAGGCATTGTTTGCGGACCAATAAAACCAATAACAGTGACAATCATACAAAAAAGACTTCAAATGGCCAGGTAGGTGTACACAGTGATCAAAACCTTATAGTGGTTCTCACCCTTCCTAATGCTGCTGCCCTTTAACAGAGTTCCTCATGCTGTGGTGACCCCAGCCATACAATTGTTTCCATTGCTATTTCATAACTGTGCTTTTGCTACAGTTATGTATCATGAATATCTGTTTTCCAATGGTCTTAGGTGACCCCTGTGAAAGGGTCGTTTGACTCCCTAAAGGCATCTAGACTCACAGGTCAAGAGCCGCTGTTCTAAACCCAAGCTATTCCAAAGCTTGTGGCTGATTCCTGACACAGAATACATCAGCAGCTGCAATGTTCAGCCCTCAGACACTTTTCCACTGTTACTAATTCCTATCACCATGCTTCAGGTCACAAACCTGAACATCTTCTCTATCACTGCCCATGTTTCTGCTGTTAACCTGTCTGTCCTTACCAGACTCCACTGTCTTCTAGCTGTGACAGGAAAACACACTAACCACTCTCCTGTGTTACTTGTTATTTTTTAGTGTGCTTCCTGTGGGTACAAATTTCTATATTCCAACTCCAAACTATTGATATTTTTTTCTGATGCCTTATTATTCCATAGGACATACTGTTTTTGTTGCTGGTCCACTCTTGATTAACCTAAACTATTGCACTACATCACATGTGGTAGCCCCTGTCTGTAATCCCAGCACCCAGGAAGATGAAGCAGGAGGGTCACTGCTAATTTGAAATCAGCTAGGGATCCATGGTAAAGTCTATTCTAATAGTTTAACCTGAGTCCAAAAACAACAAAAATGAATGTAAGTTTTTCTGTTTAGTTTTAAATGAGATGCTATCTCTCTTTTCTTTCTAGTTTATCATCATCATCATCATCATATCATCATCATCATCATTGTTGTCATCATCATCATTTTGGTAATGCTGGGGATCAGACCTGAGTCCACATACAAGCAGTCAAGAGCTCTACTACCACTGAGCTTCAGTCTAATTTCACTTTAGGAAATACTTTTAGTGTATGAACTATCACTTAGACCTTTTATAATTTATTGGATAGGTTAATTCATTCTCCCTAGTGTCTTATTTTATTCTTAATAGAAATACAAATGACCTACATACCATATTTAGAGAAATAATATATTTTAAAGGTGTTTTTCCAAATCATGACTCATAGACTGTAGCATGTGTTTGTTTTATTTCAGGGAGCAGAAAGTGTTGAATTCATATGAATTTGGGAAATATTAGATTAAACAATGTTAAATAGGCTTATTCTTGGATTTTTCAAAGAATTTGAAAATAAGGGGGCAAGCAATTGAATTTTTGAGGCAAATTTTGAGGGAAGTAAAAAGAATTTTTCAAAGTCTTTTCTCTATCTTATGAATTACTAAAAGGAAACTACCAATCCTGCCTGGGAAAGGTCAATTTGAGACTGTCCTTAATATCTTTTTTAATCAACATGCAAAATACATATTTATTGAGTCCCATACAATGTTTCAATACAGGTGTAAATTGTGTAATGTTCAAATCAAAGAAAATGTATCTGTCTTCTGAAATATTTATCTCTTTTATAGCAGAAACACTAAAATTACTTTCTTTTGCCTTTTAAAAAATTATACAATACTGTAGCTGGTGTTTTCTCCAGTCCCACCAGTGCCTGCAACTGCTCAGACCCAAATAAACACACAGAGGCTTAAATTAATTAAAATTGCTCAGCCATTAGCTCAGGCTAATTATTGACTAGCTCTTACATCTTTAATTAACCCATTTCTATAAATCTATACCTTGGCATGTAGCTCGTGGCTTACTGGTTGGTATCTTACATCTTGCTTCTTCTGGTGGCTGCTGGCAGCATCTCCTGACTCAACCTTCCTGTTCCCAGAATTCTCCTCTCTGTTTGTCTCACCTATACTATACTTCTTGCCTGGCTACTGGCCAATCAGCATTTTATTTATCAACCATATCAGAGCAATATATTCACAACATACAGAGTGATATCCACAGCACTTCCCCCCCCCTTTTTTTCCAAAAAGGAAGGTTTTAACTTTAACATAGTAAAATTACATATAACAAAACAATTATCAAGCAAGAAAAAGTCTATTTGTATTTGGCAAAATTAAAGAAAATATTCTATCTATTCTGTCATTGTGAGTCTAAGGTTTCATATCTAACTTATCTTTTATCATAACTAAGAAATTATAACTATCTAGCCTTATACTACATCAAAGACCTCAGAAGGATATAATATTACCTAAATAAATAGGAAGTTTGGTTTTGAAATTAAATATCCTTTTTAATCAACATACAAATACATATTTATTGAGTCCCATACGATGTTTCAATACAGGTGTAAACTGTGTAATTGTTCAAATCAAAGTAAATGTATCTGTCTTCTGAAATATTTATCTCTTTTATAGCAGAAACACTAAAATTACGTTCTTTTGCCTTTTAAAAAATTATACAACGCCAGCTGGGGAGATAGATGGTCTAGTCAGTAAACTGTTTACCGCACAAGCATAAGAATCTAAGTTCGGATCCCCACACCCATGAAGAAGCCAGAGTGTGGCAGAGATAGGAGGATCCATGAAGCTCACTGGAATGTCAACCTAGTCAAATGAATGAGCTCCAAGTCTAGTAGACCTTGTCCCAAAGAATAAGGTGAAGAAAAATTGAGCAATGCCACTGTAGCCTCCACAGGCACACACTCACACTTACGTGTGCCACACTCACACATACAGTCCCTTATGGTTAATATATTCTCACTCTGCTGTGCAAACAGCATATCAGAAATCACTTTTCCTACCTTAACTGTAAGTCAGTGACCATGTTTTCCCAGGCCTCCTGCATGTTTATTCTTCCAGTCCCTGGAGGCTGCTGTTCCACTCTCAACTTCTGCGAGGTCAATTTTCTTGAATTCCAGATATCAGGGAGATCCAGAGACATTTGTCTTCTTTCTGTATCATTTCACTGAACAGTATCATTAATTTCCATCCATGTGTGATAAGTAACAGGGTTTAATCCTTTTTTTTCCGAGGACTGCTATTTTATGTCAGGATCCTCCTTTCAACAAAAATAAACAATAGTATTTCACTTCCTGAAATAGTTCCTCAGAGAATACGTCACCACCAAATTAAATGAGTTATTCTTTTTTTTTTTTTTCCTTTTTTGTTTTTCGAGACAGAGTTTCTCTGTGTAGCTTTGCGCCTTTCCTGGATCTCGTGGATCTCGCTCTGTAGACCAGTCTGGCCTCGAACTCACAAAGATCTGCCTGCCTCTGCCTCCCAAATGCTGGGATTAAAGGTGTGTGCCACCAGCACCCGGCCTTGAGTTTTTCTTTATAACTGTCCACATTTCAAGAATTGATGAGACTACTTGTTAGTTAAGATGTGAAGTGGGCTCTGATTTCCAGAGAAGATACCACTTTAAAAAATTAGTGCTGAAGATCCATCTCAGATATGCACAAAAGCTAAGCAATCCTCTTCCATGCAGCCACACTCCCAGCCTCCAATTCACATCCTTTAAGAAATATGGAATCCAAGTATGTGCATCCACTTTATATGATTTACTTTGTGTTTATGGGAATTTCTTCACATTAGACTTTAGATGTTGATAAAGTATATGACCTTTATACTTAATGTTTATATTTTTTTGGAAAATTATATCTAATGTTTCCTTCAGAAGCATCCCATATGAAGTATGAATGATCCAATTAAATGCATTAATTCCACCAACAGCTGCTAACTGAAACTCCAAGATCATTAGCTAGATGATGGAAATATTAAAGCTATGTATTTATGTATCTGTATGTATATGTGTGTGTGTGTATGTACGTGGGGGGAGGGAGGTGTGGTGTTGTGGTGAGTGGTGAGTGTGTGTGTATGTGTCTAGCCCCTGCTTTCCAGGTAGGCAGACACATAAATGTATTCCATTTGGACTGTTGTAAGGTAGCAGAACACACAATCCTCAAAATGGCACAAAGCATGTGGATTCTTTCGAACTGAAGACAGCTGACAAGATGAGGATACAAGAAAAGCTTTGTACCCTACCTGGGTTATCTAAGAGAACAGAATGTACAAAGCTATCCTCTTATCCCCACCAGGAAGGACAAAGTGCAGTTGCCAAAGGCACTCTAGATTCACAGCAGCCTACAGCCAGCACTGGGGGACTCTGCATAAGGAGCTTTATTATGAGCCCATGACTAGCATTACTTCATCATAGCTGAGCCTTCTCAACAGTTTGCTGTCCTTAAAGACTGAACACCCCCTTCCCCATCATGTTATTTTTTCCAAAAATTTACTTTTACTTACTAAATGTTATGAATCCAATCAAACCTTTGAATTGCCCACCTCTGGGTATTCTTATGTGCTGCTGTGGGCTGCAGGAATTTATCATAAGAACTCAGCTGGTTATGACAAAGTCACTACCTGGAGAGATCAGGGAATTCCTCCAGAGGAAGCCAAATTCCAAGGAGCTTTTGTTGTTACTTGGCTTGTTTTATGTCAGCTGTCTTCTGTTATGAAAATCATGTGTGCCTTCATAGGTTTCCCAATTGACTTTTCCCTAAGAAGGGCTAACAGTGTGGACTGATCACTCTCTGGACATACACATTCCAGGTATTTGGAGAACTGCCTCAGGAAAGGCTTTCTCTGGAATCAGATATGTCCCTTAGCCATTTTCAAGGACTAGCAGTAATAACAGTCCACATGCAAGTCTCCTGATTGGAGACAAATTCCACAAGTAGACACCGCCTAGGTCAGGTGGATGCTCAGTAATAGCTTTACACAATTCAGCTCAGACCCTCCTTTCTTACAGCCTTACTAACTTTATAGACTTCAAACTCCTTACCTAACCACCTCTAGGACTATTTGGATAACCTGCACTGACAGCTATGCTCAGCCAGAACCCCAGTTCAAGCCTCCCTGTAATTATCATCATTGGCAGCATCCGGCCAGGTCCATCCCCAAATAGAGGAAAGTACTTTATCAGAGATATCTCTTGTACTCTCTAAGAACAGATTTAAGCATCTGGCTACCTGTTTGAGAAGGCCTGGCGGATATGCCAATTAAGCTTTACTTCCTCCTTTCCAAACCTCACCTCTAGTTCCAGATCTCCCTTTAACTATCACCAGAGTCATCTAGCTGTACAGGTTGCCTAGCAACCGAGCACACTTTCCCCCACCCTGCAGAAAAATGGCAGATAGCTTGGACAGATATGAGTCACAGGAAAAAAGAAGACAGTTTCATTTTCTCCCAATGACCTAGCAACTTATAGATTCTTAACATTTTCTACCAATCACGTTCAAGATTATAGTTGAACACATAAGAGCCCTCTTCTTAGATATTATCTGAATTTAGCCTTTAGTTAATTCATTTCCTTATTGGTCACTTCCCTTTGGGGTTGCAAATGATAATTAACGGTTATTGCCTCCCTATGTGATTCTTATCACCCCTCCATTTGACCCTGGAAGCCTGGTTTTGCACTGCTAAGAGAATACTGCTTGTAAGTGTAATACCAGGACTTCCAGGACACGTGAAGGACAGAGAAGAGAAAAGAGAACGGAAGAACTTGATGGGTAAAAACTTGAGAGGAACAAACTGAGACAGGAAAGAAGTAGATTGAAGGGCTAGAAGAGAGTACTAGAAAAACGAGATGGAAGATGAGGAAGAGTAAGATGGGAAAGCCCTAGCTGGGTAAGAACAATTTGAAAAGGACCTAGATAAGGCAGAATTAAGACAAGAGAATTAAGATAGAACTTAAGAGGGAACAGTAGATAAACAGAGAAAAATCAGACAAGAAAGGAGCTAGGCACGAGAACAGAACTGAAGCTGTGTATATGTGGATGTTATGCCAGAGGAATTAAAGCAAGTGGACTATAGAGCTCAGTGTACTGAGATTCTATTTCCTGAAAATAGTCCTCACCGTTAGTAGTTCTCTCTCCTGAGCCCCTGGGATGTATAATATTAAGGCTGATTCCAACTAATATTATACAAGAATGTGCAGTGTGTATACTAATAAACTCCTTTGTTTTTCTCTTGTTGGCCTGCCTCTTGCCAGTTCAGTTTATGAAGACATCAGCCAGAGAATCCACAGCATGAAGAAGGAATTTCCCCACCCCTTCACCGACCACCTCATACTTTTCTTAAGCACTGGAGTATCTGGCAGATAGTTACACAAATTATTTTTATGTTTTCATCTGCATTAATTTAGACATGACCAAGAGAAGTTCAATTTATAACTAGGAATTGCTTTTCTCATAGTTATAATTAAGAAATTTGATATAAAGTAATAGTTGTCTAGTTACTTCCAATTAATGTTCATCAAAGATTCTTCAAAATTCTTTGTCATGTTGGGAGAAATGGCTCAGTAGTTAAGAACACTGGCTTCTCTTCCACAGAACCTGGGTTCAATTCCCAACACCCACACAGCATCTCACAGCTGTCTATAACTCCAGGTCTAGGGGATCTGACACTTTCATACAGTCATACACACAGGCAAAACACCAAGACACATGAAATAAAAGCAAATAAATCATTATAAATGTTTTAAATTGTTTGTGGTTTTGGAACTGAGCATAATCATAAGATGAATTAGAGAATCACAAATGTTTTATATTCATATACTTTATGCCTAGTTTCTTTTCAAACACGAGGAAGCTATGAATTAAAAAGCAATAGCTTACTGCAAATACAATTAATAAACACTGATTTTTAATATCCAAGCTTTGGTTTATTGAGATTCTCAATAAATTCATTTAATTGCATAGTTTAGAAACTACCTAATCACAGTTACAATAAAATCAATGCAATTTCAAATTTTTTCTTTTGAATTAATTACAGAATTCAGGAAAATTTCAAGTATCAAACAAATGTTTCTGCATGGTTTTCATTTTTCTAAACATTGGTATTTCATTTTGCTTACATTATACAGTGCGTATGTTTGCATACAAATATGCATATTTTCATGAACTTTTAAAGAACAAATTCCCAACATAATGCCCCTTACTCTTAAATGTCTCACTGTATATTTTCGAAAGCATAAAGACACTTTCCTTTATAACAACCCAAATTAAGAAGTCAGTATTTCCCTAATTCATAGACCTATTCACGTTTTATGACATCTCAAGAATGACCTGTAAGGCAACAGTAGCTTTGTTAGGTTTTATTATTTTGCTGCATGACCATGTGACACACATACTTATCATGTCTCTTTAATCTGGACACTTCTATTCTTTTCTTACCTAGTTTTTAAAATTTTGCCATTTTAGTTACACCTTAATTTCCTTATTCACAAATGTACATTAATTATACAAAATAATGGATCTCATTATGACATTTTTATACATGCATATAACACACTTTGATCATATTCACTCTCTCTTGTCTTTTTGTTCTTCTTATGGGCAGTTTCTTGATCTTCTGTGAATTACGACTTTTAAAAGCACACAGGCCCTTATGTTGAAGATTGCTCCTTATGTTGAGTTTCTCTGATGTTTAATGATTCAGTTCATATTGAATGGTTTTTGCAAGAAAACGAAAAAACCATAGAGTGTCTTCAGTGTAATCACATTGGGAGGCTGGGATGCCGTCTTATTGCAGCCATGGTGATGGTAAACCTTTGCCCCCTTGTATAATGGGGATTTGTTGAAGTTTTCCACTGTGAAGCATTTCTGTGCACTAAAGTAACTGTAGGCTTAATTAATTCCAGAACTAAACTAACTGATGTTTTGAGACTTGTTAAATTTGATTTTATAATATATGCACATTAAGTTTTTAAAAAGTATGCCTAAGGATTACAGCTATATATGAAGTTTTATAATATGTACAATATCACTTTTTAATAATTTCATGTTTGTCTATAATTGGTACTGACAGATTTTAGAAAGTTTCAAAATATTAAGTGTACCTCACACCCTTTTCAGAGCAACTTCTAAATTTAACACAAAAGCAGATTTCCAGAAGAAAAATTGAGGTGGATATCACAACCCACTAACAAGTATTTGAAAAAAAAAATCTTAGAAATATAATATATAGCCATTAAAAATCAGAAGGATAAAATAGAAACAGAATCTACATTCTAGGCATATGGACAGAAAAATAAGTTTCCCAAGATCACTATTACTAAACATTCAGGAAGATTATTCTCATTGAGTTAGGTAAATTATAATCTGAAAAGGAAAAAGATTTGAAAATGATATTTAAATAATTTAATCTTGCTTTTGTCATAATTGACATTAAAATATTACACTTAGCTGCACTTATTTCTCCAATTTCTATAAAATCAGACCTGACCATCAGAACCTTGCATTCACTGTTGGCTGTATTAACTGTAGGTTAGAATTTTTATTCAGAATCATTTTAATCAGTCATATGATTGTTGATATACACCAACAAGAATGAAGTTCATTTCTTTTCCTGAATAGCTTTCTTTTCACATGGTAGGGTAGCTTTTCACAGTTAGGAGATGCAACTGTGCATCTTATAAATTCAAAGCAAGCTAACAGCTTCCTCTAAGAGCATGAGGAGTCAGCCTGCGTATGGAACAACTTCAGACTTTTGTTGCTGTTGGGTGTGGTTTTTGTTTTGTTTTTTGTTCTGAGAGTTTCATGTAGCTAAAGATGGTCTTAAACTCAACTTCCTGCCTATACCTCCCAAGGGTAAAGATTTTGTTGTGTACAACTATGCCCAGCAATAACCTAAAACTTGAAGTTGCTTGAATATTCAAGACAATTTTGAGTGTCTCTCATATTTACTGTGGGAAGTACTTGTCCTATAACTGCTTAGGAGAAGGAACTCGTGTGTGTGTGTGTGTGTGTGTGTGTGTGTGTGTGTGTGTGTGTGTGTGTGAACACTTATGTGAAGAGGCAAGAGATTAATGTAAGATACCTTCCTCTAACTCTCCACTTGTTCCCAGACAGGGTCTCTCACTGAACCCAGGACTCACTAGTTGGCTGACTCCCTGGCCACAGAGCTCTGGGCCAGCTCTCTGTTGTCCTCCACCAGTCTCCCAACACCTCGGTTACAGACACAGGCTAACCTGCTTGGCCTTTATGAGGATTCTAATTCTGATCTCTTTAACCAATCAAGCCATCTCCCCGGGCAGAGAGGAAATTTTTAAATAAATCAAGGACAGAGAGAAATCAATTGAGTCAACATGTGTAATTGATTTTAGCATTATATAAAATCCCTGGTGAGAGGGAAAGGAAATGAGATATTTATAACACACAAGTGCCCTGAACACAATGTGTTATTCTCACTTCTGTTTGTGTTGATTGTACTAAGGGTCTAGAGCTACTTCTTGGTCCCAATTGATATGCGTTAAGCCACACAGTTATAACCTACCTGTTTTTTTTCCCCAGTCAATTCAAGTATGGGTTAGAAAACATTCTTGACCTTGTAATTTCCCAATCCATCAAAGATCCCAAGTGAGCAGTGTCTTCCCTAAGACACAAGTCTCTCTAGACTTCGGTGAACCTCGTTTTCCTGAATAGGATTTAAGAATAAATAAGCTGCACAATCATTTAAATTAAATTTTCACACTTATTTTTTTGAGACAGGGTTTCTGTTGGTTAAGCAGCGCTCGTGGCTGGTGGTCATGCCTATGGAAGAGAGTGCTGGATGCTGCGATGGCGGAAGAATCACGAGCCATGGTTACCTTTTTAGAGCCTCATTAGGAGAGAGAGGGAGAGAGAGAGAGAGAGAGAGAGAGAGAGAGAGAGAGAGAGAGAGAGAGAGAGAGA